GTGGGAGACAGCAACTGTGCCCATATGATGCAACCACACCTGCACCTCATGCAGCTCCACTTACTGAGTAAGAGCCACCACTTCCTTCTCCACCAACTGGTCAATGATAAACAACCACCAAAAAGATCCTAACTCACTCTTAACTGCTCTTCACAAACAGTTAACAGAGATCTAAATACAACATCATCACAATATCTCAGAAATAACTGACCATCACAGTCCACACAAAGAAGCAAGATAAAGCAATAGAAACAAGAGAGCAGAATACAGACCCAGAACACATGCGTGAGGAAGAAGCAGCATTGGAACTCCCTGATAAGGAATTCAAAAGAATTATACTTAGGTACCTTCAATGGATTGAGAGACAGGTCAAGGGAAATACTGACAAAAGTAAGGAAAACACAGACAAAACCCTAGAACAATTTCAGAAGAAATACAAGAACAAAATGAGAAAATGAATAAAAAATTAGAAATGATACAAAATCTACAGCTAGAAATCCAGAAGATTAATACTAAATTTTCAGAAAAAACACATTGAAAGGGCAAAGGTGTATTGAATCAATGGAAGATAGAATTAATGAGATTGAAGACAAAATTAAATCCTGAATACTTCTTTGGAAAGGGATCAATCAGAAAAAAAAAAGATCAAAACAAAATGAAGAAAGCCTAAGGTTCACGTGGGATGGCATCCAAAGGAATAACCTACATGTAATCAGAATTCCAGAATAGGAAGAGAAAAAGAAAAACACTGAGAATATTGTTCAAGATTTGTTGGAAGAGAACTTCCCTGATATGATGAAAGATGAGAATATATTCATTCAAGAAGTGCAATGACCCCAAAACAGGAAAGACCCCAAAAGAAAATCACAAAGGCATATAATCATCAAACCAAAGACAAAGAAAGAATCCTCAAAGCAGCATGGGAAAATGAAAAGTTACCTACAAAGGGCAAACAAACAAAAAAAAAGCTCTGATTTCTCAGCAGAAACCATGCAAGTGAGAAGGCAATGGGATGGTATATATAAATCCCTGAAAAAAAATTTCCAACCAAGAATATATACCCAGCAAAAGTGTCTCTCAAATATGATTGTGAAAGTAGGAGATTCCCAGATAAGATACAGCAAAATGTGAAAGAAAAATGGAAGTGAGAAGAATATTTAAAAGTATATTTTCTAGAAGAATGACATGAAATTATGGAGAGTAGTAATAAATGATGACACCATATCATTCACTCTGAACCCTATTCAATATATTTATGAATATCTACACATTTATCTTTGAAAAAATATTTTTCACAACTGAACAGAAAATACCCTACCATCTCATACCCTATAAACCACCATTACATTCTCTTGTTTCCATAGGGAAGGGATGACTATGGTGATAAAGTCAAACCCAAACTTACTGCCATCAAGTGGATTCTTACTCTAAATGACCCCAAGTGAGTTTCCAAGTAAATCTTTACAGAAGCAGACTGCTTCATCTTTCTTCATGGAATAGCTGGTGTATTTGAACCGCTGACTTTCTGGTTAACAGCCAAATGCCATAACTACCACATTACCAGAGCTCCTTGACTATGATGATAGTCACCACTAAGTCACAGAAGAAAACATCCATCAAGATAGGAAGAAAACAAACAACTTTGTTATTTATTTCTCATTTTTTTCTTTTCTATTTGTAACAGCAATGCATATCTTGCTTCAATAGCATATCTATTCTCACAGCAGTGCAACTATTAACCACCATTAATAGTACTTGAAACTGATAATGACCTTAAGTCCTACAGAAGTGACAATTATATGTTACTGCTATGTTTCTGTACAATACTTTGTAACTGTGGCACCTGAGTTGTGTTACAGGTAAAGATATGAAATAAATATAAGCTTGAGTACTTATCTTTATATGATTGGTAAATTTTTCAAATCTGCCAATAGGCACTCTTAAAATAATGCACACTGTAACATAACATGGACATTATTAAAAGAATAATATATAATACCTTTCAAGTGAGGGCGGTGCACGTGCATTCTTTGTAGATGTAAATTTACTGGAACAAATTCTAATGTTTTCTCTCCTTTGCTGCTGCTTGATTTGAAAGAGGACCCTGGAGGGGGAGAAAATGTTATCAGTAAATAAACAAATGAAAATAAGTAAATAAAGAATAGGGCTGTGTGTGTGTGTGCGTGTGTGTGTGTGTGTGTGTGTGTGTGTCTACCCAATGGTACATTTGCCAGAGAAAATTTTATAAGAACTTCAGAAAGGAACATACCCTATATTTATGATTTTCTTTTAGTCTCAAAAATACAATTTTTTTAAAAGGCAATTATTCATGTAATAACAACATGTGTTAAAATAGCACAACTTCTTTTTCTTCCTTGTTTTGAATGCCAGGATGGAAGAGTTAGAAATAAAAGGGTTTCACTTTTTCATATTGTTTCATCTTTGGCTCTCTTATCTTCACAGTGATAATGTTTATTATTGTTTTCACATAACATACATGAAATGCAAGTCAGTTTGAATAAGTAAAATTACTACTTTCACACCTGTTTCCTTGCTCAGTTCTGTCAGAATGTCTTGGTACATATTCACCATTTGATCACAGTGACTAAGGACATTTTTCCTTAGATTGTCCCAGTGTGGAGCAAGCTCACCAAGTTCCTTTATTTCCTGGTTTCTGTTAAGAAGCAAAAAAAAAGAAGTAAGGCTTACTCAGGGTTGTCAGATGAACAATAAATTGTTTCACCATTCCTTTTAGCAAGGTCCTACAAGCTTATTAGAGAGAGGAAAAAAAAAATATGCGTGTGTGTGTGTGTGTGTGTGTGTGTATCATTTTAACACAAAGGAAAGTATCATTAGTTTAGACCACAAGAAGATTAAAAAATTCTGTATGTAGACTGATGAAACCCCTGAGACTACAGCCCCTATTTATCCTTCAGGCCTGGAATTGAATTCACCCCTGTGGCTTCCAGCCCAACAATATAGTGGCATACAAGATGAACATTTATACCAGGTAAGTACACACCTTAGAAAAATCAACCATGGGAGATCAGAAGGGTAGTATCTGCACAGGGAGATGGCTCAGAGGGCAGGTATACATAGGAAAGGAGCACACAGAGAAAACGTAACCATGGGGAGGAAGTAGGAAGAGAGCTGTGACCTTATGGTGATTAAATAAAAATCTGTATGTCAAAAGAGTAAACAAAATTATAGGTCAAATCCATTTATAGAATTTTCAGAGAGATGACAAACACTTAATATCCTTATTAGAGAGGTTGTTCAGTTTAAAAGCAAACACTAAAACCTTAGCAGAAAGATGGCTAAATTCTAGCCTTCAACCACATGGAATCAAATGATGTTGAAGGATTACTTGACTAAATCTGAAGGTAACCCTAGAAACCCAGTTTATATCTAATATAGTTACAAAATTTTAAAAAAAGATAAGCCCAGTTAATAAATAACTCCTATATTGAGTCAATTCTGACTCATAGCAACACTGTTGGACAAGGTAGAACCTCCTCATAACCACTGCACCACCAAGGACCCTTACTGTTAAAAAATAAATGGTACAATTAAAAAAATCCAGTTAATAAATACATGATGATCAGGTATGATTGCACTGGTCTCAATTTCTCCCAAGAAACAATTTGATTAGGTAAATACTCTCTGCATACACTTTGTCTACTTTTTATCAATAGGAAGAGCTAATATGCCATTTAAATTTTAATTATTAACTTTTATCTAAATCTCTACCCTTTAGCCAAGTGAATTTAAGTCATCAGAATGTTTTTTTAAATTATAGTGATAAATGGTCTAATATGCTGCATGGTTAGAACTCATTCATTTCTGTAACCTTTTACCAATATTTTCATGAGGCTAATTTAACCAGCAATAATGAACCTTCTTTTCTATTTTGGCTGTGAAACATGCTAAATACCAAGCTAATAAATTCAGAAGATGTGGTATCTTTAACATTCTGTTAAATGCAAGAATAATGGATGGTGGGCAAAAATGTGACTTGCTTTCAAATGTTTATAGCTGGCTTTGTTTTGTTTCAATGGGAATGCAATTTAATATTGCTGAATCCTTCATACGAGAGCCTTACAGTTTTCGAGAGCATTAATCTCACTCTCAACTTTTCCATTTTCATTATGATTAGCTTTCATTGCACAATATTTGTGTGAAACAATATTTAACTAGTAGACAATGACATAAAAAGAGGTCTTGACCAAAGGTCAATGGAAGGAAAAGTCAAGGAATAGGAGAATCAAGATCTCTGTATGCACTCAAAAACTTGGCTATTTAAATTCAACACAAAACAAGAACAACAATCAATACAATTAAACAAACGCAAAAGCTTGAGATACTCAAGTCTAGAAGAATCTGAGATCTTAGGTTAAATCTGGGAGAGTTGGAAAGTGACATATCAATTTACTTAATATATTTAGTGTTTTAGTCTTTAATTGCTGTAAAAAGTTGTCATAGAATCGTTAGTTAAGCATTCCTACTTAATATTAATGGGTGCACCATGATTTTATACTTTATGTTGTCTCTGAATCCATAGAAGAAAGAATAATTAAGATGAGATGGGTGAAGGAAAAGAAGAAGGGTAAGAGTGAATCATGACTACCTTGTGAGACATTGGGGTGGGCTTCAGAAAAGTCTGGCAACATGCAGTCAAAAAACTGTGATGTTCTGGAGGAAGTGACTTGAGAAAAAAATGGGTGAAATCCACAAATTTTTTTGTGTAAAATTTATTGCACTTTTCCAAAATGTCACAGATGAAGTCTGGTGTATACTGTTTGGTTTGCTAAGAGATAGCTCTGAAAACTCACCAGCCACTCCTTGGAAGGAAGGTTGGACAATCTACTTCCATAGTGATACTGCCTTGGAAACCCAACGCGGGTCCCTATGAGTCAGGTCTGACTCAACGGCAAATAACAACAGCTCTAAAAAGGTACACATTTTGAAAGAGACAAGGAATTAATATATAGTTTCTCTGGATTGAGAAAAGTTGAAATATAGAGAAACTATAGGATAAAGACAGGAGCTCTGGTAGCATAGTGCCTAAGGCACTTGACTACTAACCAGAAGGCTGGTGGTTCAAACCCACCAGCCTCTCCTCGGAAGAAAGATGGGGCAATCTACTTCCGTAATGATACTGCCTCAGAAACCCAAGGAGGGGTCACTCTGAGTTGGGTCCGACTCGACGGCACATAACAACAACATAGGCTAAATATAATAAACCAGAGCAGACCAATGAAAAATTTGTAAAACTAAATGGGGTAGATGGAGATAGTAGCAATAAATTTTTCAAAAATTAAATAAATTAATAAATATAAAAAGAGAAGCATAACCAAGCACTAAACGTAATAAACTTCTCAATCATGAAATAAATCTACATGCACACACACACACACACACACATTCTTAACTGTATATTTTAATTTATTGCTCAGTGAATACAAACTACCTACTTTAAAAACTTTGTTTTGCATCTTAATTTAGGTTCTCTAGGAAATAGGGCTGAAATCAAGTTTATCTGCCAATTTCAGGCCAGCAAGAGCTAGATAAGAGGAAGTGATGGAGGGAAGAAGAGAAAAATAAAATAAAAGGTAGGACATTACTGAGTTGGATAGAAATTCACAAGAAAATATGGCTGGTTATTTGGTCATGTGGACACCTCTGAAGCCATCATATGGAACCTTTGAACAATGAATGTTAGTTAGACAGAGGATACCCCTCAACTTTAGGTTGTATCTGGTGCCTGTGGAAGCCAGATGCCAGTTGAATAGAGAACTTTCCTGGGTCTGGTCTAGTCAGACATGGGTTCCAGAGCCACTCTAGAGGACTCTTCCATGGTAGGTGCTAATGGAGGCATGCTAAAGCCTGGCCTTTGCACTGAAGGAGGATGATACAACAGGGAGTATTAAGAGATGACAATGGTGGAAATATCTGGGGCTTCTCATTGAGGAAGTGATCAAAACTTGAACACATGTAGAGTTGATCTACTGTATAAAAACACATAGACTAGAGCCAGGACAGGCACCCTTTTGGATTTTATGTATGTGTGTGTGTGTGTGTGTGTAATTAAAAAAAAAAAAAA